AAAACAAGAAAAAATCACAGTCACCTTCGGAAATCTCTCAAGGGCTTTTGTATCAAAAAAAAAAAAAAAGGTTAGACTACGTTAGAGTGACGTCATTGGGTTGAACCAGGACAACAAGCAGAAGGGAAGGGAAGGAAGAAAGGTTTTCCATTGCTTGTATTTCTCGGAGTTCAGGCAGAGGTTGGAGGCCCTTCTGTGGCTCCTGATTCGGAATATATGCTCGAACCAAATGCTTCTACTTCACCAGAAGTCGTTGCTGGAAATACCTACCTGGGGTGGTTTGAAGGGCGTGCCACCCCATCATGGCTGCCATTGCGTGCAGACCTTTGGAGGGGCAGCCATTGATCGCTCTGGGTGTTTTCTGTACGCACATTGCTTCATTCCTCTGGGTCGTCTGGGATTTATATCCACCTCAGGACATTCTGTTGGGAAGCTGCAGATCAGGGTGACATTGTCTTGGGCCCCAGAGACCGGGACAGAGCCCTCTCAGGGGCCCCTCCGCACTGTGGAAGGGGCATCGGCATGGGGCCAGTCCAGAGTCCATAGGGAAGGAGGGGCAGGGGGGAAGCCAGAGATGCAAGCAGGTGGCCTGGCCCAGGGGGGCTCTGTTGCTGCTCAGCCTCGGGCGGCACAGGGCTCTCGTCCCTGAAGAAGCCTGGCCTAGAAGCAGGGCGAGCAGAGGGTCTCCCAGGGGCCTTTACCCCACTGCAGCTTCATGGTGGGTGTGGAGCTGGCTCCCGGCAGATCCTGGGCTGGGTTCCCTGGACGTTTACATTCTAGAGCCCCTTCCAGGAATCCCATCCCTTTCCTTCTCCGTCTGCTTCCCTGATGCTCCCTGTTCCCTCCTGCCCCACATGGAGACGTCCTTCACTGTCTGTGTTGGTCCTGTCTCCTTCGGCCATCTCATCTCCCCCTCCTGCTTCCGCTGCCAACAATTCACTCGTGAATGTGAGCCTTTGCCTCAGGTATCCATGCCACCTGTCTCCTCCTTGTCTAGCGGGATGAATTGTTCACTCGTGGGTTCAACAAACACTTTCTGCAGGCAGCTCCAGAGCACGTAGCCGGCACACGGTGGGCACGCGAAGATAGCTGCCCAGAGTGAGAGCTCAGCAGTATTTGGTTGTTAGAAATTGTTTGCTTATTCTTCAGCAACTTTTCACTGCACATCTGCCATCTGCCCCATCCTGGGCTAAGCCCAGGGTCCGTGACATGAGGTTCCAGCCCTCGGGGAACTGATGTGCTATAGGAGGAAATGGACACTCAGGGCTTGATTATATACTAGTCAGAAACACAGGCAGTAATTGGAGAGGCTGAGCAGAGGACAGAGGGGTCTGTATGGTTGTCGCAGTCTGGGAGGACTTCCTGGAGGGGCTGGTGTTTGACGGGATCTTGCAGGTCAGCTGGAAAGGAAGGCATTCCAGGCTGGTGGCCGGAGGTGCAGGTGAGGGAGACCAAGGGGGTCAGTGGTAACGGGTTTGCTCAAGAGTATTTCATCATGAGTTGCGGGCTCCTGTGTTTCCAGCGGCTGTCTTGTCGAGGAGGGCAGTGGCAGGGCGAGCTGGATCCTGACCAAGCACCCAGGCCTCGGGCCACCCACCTGATTTTCCACCCAGCTCCTCAGGATCGTTCGGTTGGAGAGCAAACTGCTGGCTTTGCCCAGGGCCCAGCACCATCACGCAGCCCGTCTCTGGCAGCCCCCCTGTGTCAGTCTCATTAAACTTGGGGCCACCTAAGGAACAGCAGTGGGCACCCCAGCTGTTGAGACAGGAAGACAGAAGACTCTGGGAGGTATGGTGGCCGTCTCAGAGAAGGGCCCTGGAGACTTGGAACCAGGACCAGTGAGCCATACCTCTAAGACACAGACATGGGCTGGAGCTCAGGGAGCTCTCTGTCCCCACAGGTCACGTGGCCCCACTTGCTGGAGAAGCTGCAGGGTGGAAGGAGTTTGAAATAGACCCCCCCTCCCACCCCAAGTCTGGGATCCTTGGACTGAGCACCTGTGAGAATCTTGGCTTGTCATTCTGACCAGTCGGCCACGGGACCTTGGGGGATCTAAATTAGAGACCCAGCCTCCCCGATTTAAAGTGTCTCAATTAGAGACCCAGCCTCTCGATTTAAAGCAAAATGATCAGTAATGAAGACCGAGATGGCAAGGCTCTCTTCCCTCTTCTTGGAGGAGCCAGAAACATCAGTTTGCCAGAATTCCTTCCGTCTCTAAGGCTTCCCAGTTGGCCAACGTTTGCCTGGACACAGACCGGTCCTCATCCTGCTCCCTCCTGCTCGCCGCTCCAGATCCTAAGGGAAGGCCTCGGTGGTGCCTGGGGCAGGAGGGACACTCCACTGGGCCGAGGCGGTGACACACCCCTGCCTGCTCTCCCCACTCCAGAAGGGGCACCGCTGCTCCAGCTGCAGGGGAGACTCTGGATGTGAGAAGAGTCATCTGCAGTCACGGGCAGATCATGGTAGAGCTGGGACCAAGAGCAGATCTCCCAACTCTTGGTCCGGTGGTCTTTGCGCACCCCGTGCTGACTCCCCATTTCTCCCCCACTCGCTCGGTCTCAGTGGGTGGCTGGAGGTTTGAGAAACTGGATTCTAACTCCTTGCCATAGAAGACTGGATGTTCTGCTGCCTCCCCACTGGCTAAGCCTAGAACTAGGTCAGCACTGAGGGGCTTCCCTCCTCATCCTCAGAGGCTGGTCCTCCTGCCCCCAGGAACAAAGCAGGACTCCTTGATTTTGTGTGCTTCTTGCCTTCTTCTGCCCCTACCCCTCTCTCCCTGGGAAGAGGCCCCAAGCGCACAGGGTAGGAATAGAGGACAGAGCTGGGGTCTAGAGGCCGTGCTTTGTCACTAACTAGCACACATTCCCTGCTCTGTCTGGTGTGAGTTTCCCCCCAGTTAAAACTCGGAGCTTGGGCTCGTCCCTACAACCCTCGGTCTCTGCAACACGGAGCTCCCCGTGCAGGCCAGCCCCTATTGCTATGCAGGGTGGTCCCAATCCCAGGCCGGATGCCAGAGGACACTCCAAGGGTCCATGGGGTCATGGGATGGGGCCCAGAGATCAGTGTAGGGGCAGGAGGGGCAGGGGCTGCCCCCCAGTCTGGCCTCCAGGAAATTGCATAACAGAGATGTTTATTTTTGGTGAGGCTGGGTGGGATTTCTTCTCTTAAAAAAAAACCCCAAAACATAAAACTTGTTTGTCTGCCAGCAAGATAAATATCTTTGCTGAAAGCTCTTGGCCCGGCTGCCATCTGCAGTTTGCATAACGTTGTCACTGAAGCCGCGGCGGTCTGCGTGTGCCCAGGGCTCACGTGGGTGTCCTGCACGTGGCCCCTCCTGATGCCTCGTGCATGTCCGCCCGCTCCAGGCACTCACCTCCACCCCCTTTGTCGGGGCATGGAGAGAGACGTGGGGATGGCAGGCAGCTGTCCCTTGCGCCTTCCCAGGGTACACGCAAAGCTAGGGAGGAGAGCGAGCCCAAGGCCTCAGCCACCAGGATCCGGACGGAGCCGGGAGACCTGAGCCAGCGGCATCATCCCGACACTTCACGCCCGCCGCGTGGACCTGTTCCCAGAGGAGGTGCTCACACCAAACACGCGTCAGAGCTTGGATGTGTGCAAGCCTTCTCCAGGGCTCCCCGGAAGCCTTATTAATAATCATCGGTACATTACCGCACGGGCCGGGGAGGGCGGCACAGAGAAGGGCTCACACCGGTCTCCCGACACCAGGCCAGGGCCTGCACCTGCTCCTGCACCCAGATGCTCTGGAGAGAGCCTGCCCGCTGGGAAGACTTCTCCGGGGTCAGCGTCCCCTGCTGCTCGGAAGTCCATACTGGAACTGGGGATACCAATACGGGCAGAAACCTACGGAGCCGGCGCCGTGCTAAGGGCTTTGCCTGTTGGCCTCCTTAATCCCGCAGTATGCCAGGAGGAAGAGCCCACAAGTATCTTCGTCCCCATTTTATATAGTGGGGAAACTGAGGCACAAAGAGGTTAAGTGAACTGTCCCAAGTACACAGCCAGAGCGAGGTACATGTGGGAGTCATACCGTCCTCCACTAGCTCCAGAGTCCACGTTCTAACCTTGACTCTGAGGCAAGTGTGTCTGCCCAGGGTGCTAACTGGGCCATTTGGGTATGGACAGGTCACTCCCTGCCCCACTCTCCCCCTGCTGGCCTCTACCTCCTCATCCCTCACTTACACAGATCCACTGGTCCTTTCCAGCTCCGGGCATGTAGGAATCAATCAGTGGAGCCCCATCCTGGCAGATGGCGGTGGCTGTGGGCCCAGGCCTCGAGCTTAGTGTGAGTCTAGTGGGGCACACACGGCAGCATCCTGGGGACGCAGGCGCCCGCCTTGCTTCCTTAGTAAATGTGCCCCTTGCCTGGAGCAGGCCAGACCCTGCGTGGACAGTAGGTGAAACCTGTGGAGGGTGAGGGGCGTGACCCCTGATGCTGGATTCTTCGGGGCGGCGTGGGGGGATCTCCTCAGCTCCTGCTGAGCCCCAACGGGACCAGGCCTGGATAGGAAGGGCGTTCCTGTCTGCCTTGATGCTGGCCTCCTCTTTCCCCTGCCCTGTTGGGCCAGACATGGCTGCTGAATTAGCTTTCCCTTCCCCTGGGTGCCTGAGGCACTGGGTCAGGATTCCTGATGTCCAAAGCAGAAGTTCTGACAAAGGGGATCCTTCTAGAAGGAGGAGCCCGGGATCAGTGGGGACGGGGATTAAGGGTCCAAGAGATCAGATTGACTGACCCAGAGTTGTACTACGTCGGTGGTAAAAGGGCTCCTTTCTGAGATTATGGCAACGAGGCTCAGAGAGGGAAATGGACTTGCCCAAGGTCACACAGCATGTTAATGGCAAGGCAGGACCAGAACCGGGGCCTCCTGCCCTCGCATCCAGTGTGATGCTGACAGCGGAATGGCAGGGGAGGGCTCTCCCTGTCCTTCCCTCCTCTCTTACTCGGTTTAGTCATTGTTCTCTGCCGTTGTTTCCTCCTCCTTCAGCCAAAGAGAGCTCCCTGGGTGAGCCGGAGTTGCCGCCAGACTCTGACACCGTGGGGATGGACAGCAGCTACCTCAGTGTGAAGGAGGCTGGAGTGAAGGCGCCCCAGGACCGGGCCAGCGCCGAGCTGCCCAGCCCGCTGGAGAAGGCCGACTCCGAGAGCAACAAGGGCAAGAAGCGGAGGAACCGAACCACCTTCACCAGCTACCAGTTGGAGGAGCTGGAGAAGGTCTTCCAGAAGACCCACTACCCCGACGTGTATGCCCGGGAGCAGCTGGCCATGAGGACAGACCTCACCGAGGCCCGCGTGCAGGTCAGTGAGGGCGCCTGGGGAGAGGCTGGGAGAGCAGGGCCTGCCCTCGGGCTGGTGGCCAAAGCTGGGACTGCCCGACTGTGCCTCAGCTGCACCAGGGCTTTCTTCACTTCAGTCCAAGGACAGCCTGCCCCACACACCCCTGCTCCAAACAGGGCCAGTCTGCTTTTATCCACCTGACTATCAGGCCTCCTGCTCTGGCGGGAGCAGGGGCAGAAGAAGGAGGGTCCCCTGTTAGCTGTATTCCTGGGCTCTGTGTGCTGTGAGTGTCCTGGCCCTTTCACAAAGGAGATGACTCGTCTACTGCCCTCGAAGGCCTGTCTCTTAGGAAGGAAACAGGATAGACCTAAAGACATCCACAGCAGTCCAATGGGCAGAAAGAGAGAACAACCCGGCTCTTCTTTCTGCCCAGGATAGCTGGCTCCTCCATCTTTCAGCTCCCAAATCAATATACCTCCTTTGTGAAGTCTTCCTGACCACCGTGGCTAAAGCAGTAGTCCCCTGCCACTATCCAGCCACCAGAACACCCAACCCAACACAACATAACCCAAACCAACACAGCCAACCCAACACAGTCAACCCAACCCAACACGGCTCAGCACAACCCAACAGAACCCAACCCAATATAACATAACCCAAACCAACAAAGCCAACCCAGCACAACCCAACACAGCCCAAACAACACAGTCAACCCAACCCAACATGGCTCAACACAACCCAACAGAACCCATCCCAAGGCAGCATAACCCAA